GATAGTGATGAAGACAATGAAAATGTTGAGGCTGCAAGTCGGGGGAACATCACCAGAGTCCATCACCAGCTCCTCCAGAAGAGCAAAATGAACCAGAGCTGACTGAAGAAGAGAAAGTATCGAGTGATGTTGCTGACAAAAATGCTTCTGACTGACATTCTCCTGCATGTCACAGATGCAGAGATGTGTTATGTAGCCAAGGATGCACACGGGAAAGCAAGGAAAGCACCTGCAAAACAGCTGGCACTGTCCAGTGCGCTGGCTTCCCTCACTGGACTTGGTGGATAGGGTGGTTATGAATCAGGAGACAGGGAAGATGAGAGGAGTGACAGAGGCTGTGAGTCATCTGACACGGATGATGGGGAATTATGGCACCGAATCCGGCAAAAACAGGAAGCTTTTTGGAGAAAAGAAAAAGAACAGCCACTGTTACATGATAAAGAAATGGAAGAAGAAAAGCAACAACCAGTGCTTGCTTCGGCAGCACATATACTAAAATTGGAACGATACAGAGAAGATTAGCATGGCCCCTGCGCAAGGATGACACGCAAATTCGTGAAGCGTTCCATATTTAAAAAAAAAAAAAAAAAAAAAAAAAAACAAAAGCAACAACCAGAGAGGGTTACAAACGAAATGAATGAGTGTATGCATAAAGAGCAAAATAGTTATCCCTGCTAGAAGCAAGAGAAGCAGACGGTGATGTGGTTATCGAAAAGAAGAGAACTCCAAATGAAATATCAAAGTTAGAACCAAAAAGGGAGCATAAAGAAAAAGAGAAACAAGGAAGGAGGAGATCAGGACGTTCTAGTAGTGGGAGTTCCAGCAGCACCAGCAGAACCAGTCGTCCTAGCAGGACTGTCTCTAGCTCTTCATATAGTTCTAGCTCAGGTAGTCATCGTACTTCTTCTAGGTCGTCTTCTCCCAAGAGGAAAAGAGACATAGCAGGAGCAGATCTCAACAATGAAAGTTAGATGCAGCGGGAGTAGAAGCTACTCTCACAGAATTAAAATAGAGAGCAGCAGGATTAGGGCAAAAATGAGAGCTAGGAGGAGATCTAATAGAAGCAGCCTTGAAAGAGAAAGATGGCGAGATCGGAGTCCTTCCCGAGAGAGGGGCAGAAGTAGAAATCGCTTTACTACTATGACGAACCAATAGGGATAGACGAACCAATCGTTCCAGTCGCAGGAGGAGTCGAGATAGGAGTAAAATTGATTATCAGCGTGGAAATCGTAGCGGAGGCAGTTGTAAGCATAAAGGTGAGGCTAAAGAACAAGAGAGAAAAAAGGCGAGAAGTCGAAGTATAGATAAAGATAGGAAAAAGAATGATAAGGAAAGGGAGCATGAGGAGGATAAAAGGAAAGAGAAACAAAAAAGGGAAGAAAAAGACCTCAAGTTCAGTAGTCAGGATGACAGGTGAAAAATGAAGTGAGAAAGTAGAAGAACATTCTCTAGGAGTGGTTCTATCTCTGTTAAAATCACAAGACATGATTGTAGACAAGATAGCAGGAAAAGTACCACCAAAGATAGTAAAAAACATTCCGGCTCTGATTCTAGGGGAAGGAGCAGTTCTGAAGCTCTAGGAAGAAGCAAAGCAAAGAAGGCTAAGAAGCCTAAACATAGTCGATCGCCATCCATGGAGAAATCGCAAAGGTCTGGTGAGAAGGCACGCCGCAAACACAAGTCTAAGTCCGGATCAAGAGCTTGCTGCCTTCATGTGGAGAGATGGTCATGTGTCTAAGGAGGGAGGAGCTCTGAAGAGGACACAGCGACTGAAAAGTCTGCAGCCACCCTTAGGAAGAGGTCGATATTTCAGCTAAGGAGTCATAAGTGAAAGACTATTCCTGAGCAGTAAAATTTGGTAATTCGAAGAGAGCTTTACCAATTTGACCCTGCCTGTTGAAAATATAAAATTATTTTTTGCCTTCAAAAAAAAATCGCATGTATCAGATAAACATGTACAATTATTGTATATCAATTAAAAAAATGTGAAGCACAGTGCCTAGTGAGACAGAGGAGTGGATGGGTGGCAGGGAGTCTTCAGGCAGAGAGGATGGCCCTAGCAGAAGCATAGCAGAGGGGACAGTGCGGGTGGCATTGCTGGGGGCATAGAGCTGTGGGGACTTGCTGAGATGGACATGGCACAGGTCCCAGGGACTTGGAGAAGCAGGTGAGCTTGGGGTGAAGGCAGCCTAGAGACAAGAAAGTGCACCTGAATGAACAAAAGGCGGCAAGAGTGTTTTATGGAGTTTTCACAGCAGCAATCTCCTGTGCTCCTGATGAGTCCTCTGGGAAGGCTGGGCAGAAACTGCAGGAAGGAGGCCAAAGAGGCAATGTGGCTGAGCCAGACCTGCCCCGCCCCAACAATAGCAAGCACACGCTTACAGAGCACGCCAGCGGCAGGATGACCATGCGTTCTTCCTGTACCTCTTCCGGTGAATCAACAAGCCAACAGACGCTGCATTCTACAGTGAGACCGCCTTGCAAGGGAACTGATTGGCACTCTGGACAGCACATCCTCCTCTAGGTTATGAGGGAGGCCGGAGAGGCTGGAGAGGCTGGAGGGGCAGTGGGTATGAGGGTGAGACATTCAGAGAGCTGACACCTCCTTCCTCTTGGTTGCCCTTTAACCCACGGCTGGGAACTGGGGCTTCAAAGTGCTATTTGCAGAGGAAGTCCAGACACGGTGGCCTGCTCCACCTGGAGAAGTCCTAGGGGTGAGGGATGGGCTGGCTGGCGTTCACAGAGAGGTGAGTGCCCAGAGTATCAGAGCAAAGGGTCCTGGAGGACCTCTTGTGAAGTGTCTTAGATCCTAAACCGAAAGACAGCATGGAGGTGAACACAAGGGCCCCTAAGAGAAAGTCTAAACACTTGTGAAGACCAGAAAAGGACACCAGCTACAATAGTAGACCTCAGACGGGAAGCTGCTCCACCTCTCCTCTCCCTGGAGGAGTCAGAAACTGGGGGCACCAGGAGGCGGGAGGAGGAGGAACAGGGCAAGGTAGGGAAGGAGGCAAAGCAGGCTCTCTCTCTCTCTCTCTCTCTCTCTCTCACACACACACACACACACATACTCAGGCATCTTTTATACACACACATTCACAGGCACACACCACACACATCATATGCTCCTGCACATGCGTAGATATGCACCCCACACATGCTTACACACATACTTGCACATGCTCACACATTCACACTCTCCCCTCTCCCTCACTGCAGGGCACACCTGCACTCGGACTGAGCTGGGGGATGGGATGAAACAATTTTAATTTTGATGTTTTGACTTTTGTATTGGGGCTGGACATTTAGATTATAGAATAGAGATGGACCTTGTGATTTAAAGGGTTGATGGCTATTTTACTGTCCCAGGGAGTACAGAGGAGTTGCAGCACTTGTCTAAATTCTCATCAGGCATCGGGGAAGAACCAGCTCCACAGAGAGATGGAAATAAAGCTGTTTAATGATTCCTCCCTCCTGCTCCTCCTTCCTCATGGTTAGCACGGTGGCTGCTTGTTGAGTATGGTGGCTGTACTCACCATTTAATGTAGGCATTGTGCAGATTGACCAAGAGGTTAAAAAAATAAAGAAAACAAAAGTAACATAGGTGCTGAATTGAAACCACATGCCTATTAACTCATTTAGTCCTCATACTAACCCACGATGTAGGCATTATTAACATTCTGTCTGTTTTACAGATGAAGGAACTGAGACCCCAAATGAGTGAAATAACATGCCCAAGAACTCACAGCCACTAAAAGCCAGAGCTGGGATTCCCACCCGGGGAGGCTGCCCCATCATCTGCGTGTTTAACCTCTCTCCAGGAGATCCCTGAGTGCTCCCTGGACATGCCTCGCAGTCCTGAAGCCTCACTAAGAGCTCAAATCTATCAGGGATCCAGGATGGAGGCAACATAGCAGAGTAGTAGAAACAGGCACTGGGGTTCCCTGCTGTAGAAAGACTCGACCTGACTCACCTTGCTGTGTCCTTTCTTGTAGGAACATCGGCTGTTAGGCGTTAACCTCTGCTATGTCTTTCTGTGTGTCACCAGACTCCTTGGTGATCGTCGATGGGGGAATGTGTGTGTATTGGTGTAGACCTATGTGTGCAAGTACAAATGTGCAGTTCTCCTGCTGCCTCTCCATCAAGGTCACATCCCCCTTGTGGGCAGAGACCACGTCTTCATCTTGCTCCCGATTCCCCCTCGGCTCTCAGTCCAAACATTGCCCACGGAGAGCCTGGGTGATATCACCAACTAACCCCACAGTCCCCTCTTTCCCTCCCAGCCTTCTTGTGCAGCGGTGACCAGGCTGTCGCAAGTGCTGTCCCAGCACCTTAGGGCCCTGTTCCTACTGTGTTATCACAGGCTGCATCACCAGCAAGCACTTGCCAATGAGTTCTCTGTAAAGTGATGGGAAGAATTATCTACTTTTCACAGGCTCATAGATACCTCAGCAAAAACGCTTCTTCCATTTGCCTCTGGATTTATTGACACTGGGGAAAACCAGGTATTTCTTAGCAAGCAGATGCTAAGAGGAGTTCTTTATGGGATGTGGTTGGTAATAATTTAATTAGCCCAGGTTTTTTTTTGGGAAAAAGTGTTAATTAGCTTTTGCTTAAAATACACCACCTCGATGGTCTCTCCTTCCCCACTCCCATCCCCTGGGTGAAGCCCCAATTTCCCATCCACGCTCTGCAGCTTGTCCCAGCCGGGTTGCTGCTGTTATTACAGGAAAAGGAAATGCAAGAAGTTATTACTGGATAGTCCCGGATTATGACACATGCTGATTACGAGTCCTCTAGAGCCAAGAGACTGGGGCGGAGAGCAGAACCCCACAAAGAGTCACCCACAAATAGAGGCCTTCCAAGGACCGTGAAGCTCTCAGTGGTCCCCATAGTGCTCCCTGAGGCTCCAGAACAGGACTACTATTGGTTGAGGCAGAGAGCGGGAAGTTGTGGACAGGGGCATCTCAAGGAGAGGGTGAGCAAGGTGCTCCAGCCCCTCAGGCAGAAGGGAAGAGGTCTCTCCAGGTGAGGCCGTCCCCCCGCTTCTTATCCAGCCACCGGCCGCAGTTGAAGATGGTGGCCACGCCGGTGCTGGTGTTGGTGACCTCCACCTTGTCCACCAGCCAACCGGAGCAGTAGCCGCTGCTGTCGTGCTCCAGCCGCACCTTGCGCAGCTCGCCCAGCTCCAGCGTCTCCAGGAAGAAGCGGTCGGTGCTGCCGCGCTCGAAGAGGTTGCGCATCTTCTGTTTCAGCTCACGCCTGCCGGTGTCCCCATTGGCCCCAAAGATGGTCACGAAGACGTTGGCATCAGTGCCTGCCCCAGGCTCATAGCCTGTTGTCACGATGACCTCGTATTTGACAGACACCAGGCTCTGGATCTTGCTGGCAAAGCTCTCCGTGGTCTTGGTGACCTCAAATACCTTGAAGTACTTCCTCTTCCTCTTGAGGGGGATGAGGCAGTCACAGTTGAAGAAGTACCTGACAGGGAGGCGGGAGAGAGGAGGGGAGGGGCTCAATGGATGCTGGCCAGGTGGCAGCCCCCAGTCCCCTGGTCATCCACAAATGAGCCCTTCCCCAGGTCACAGGAGACAGGAGCTGGAAATATGCAGGGTAAAATGTGAGGGCAAGGTCTTGTTTTACTGAAATTCACAGTAGTGGAGCATCTCCATCTGGTTACTCCTTGATTCTTTTTTTTTTTAGACAGGGTCTGAGTCTGTTACCCTGGCTAGAGTGCAGTGGCATCATCATAACTCACAGCAGCCTCAAACTCTTGAGCTCATGTGAACTTCCTGCGTCAGCCTCCCAAGTAGCTGGGACTACAAGCATGCATGTGTCTGTGTATGTATGTGTACACATACATATATATATATATACACACACATATATATATATACACACAGACATGTATAAGTAATATATACATATAAGGTACATACATACATGTTTATGTACACACAGACATATATACACATACACGTATATATATATACACACATACACACACATATAGATTTATTTTTTGGAAGATAGGGTCTCATTCTTGCTCAGGCTAGGCTTTTTTGTTTTTTGAGACAGAGCCTCAAGCTATTGCCCCAGGTAGAGTGCCGTGGCGTCACAGCTCGCAGCAACCTCCAACTCCTGGGCTTAAGTGATTCTCTTGCCTCAGCCTCCCAAGTAGCTGGGACTACAGCCACCTGCCACAATGCCCAGCTATTTTTTGGTTGTAGTTGTCATTGTTTGGCAGGCCCGGGCCAGATTTGAACCCACCAGCTCTGATGTATATGGCTGGTGCCTGCTCAGGCTAGTCTTGAGCTCCTGACCTCAAGAAGTCCTCCCCACTTGGCCTCCCAGAGTGCTAGGATTACAGACATGAGGCACTGTGCCTGGCCATCCCTTGATTCTTCTACTCCTCCCCACTCTCACCACCTCTCACATTCCATACAATCATAGAACATCTATCTTTAAGATATACCCAGAACCAGCCCACTTGAAAATATTATCCAGTATCTCACTATCTCCTCTGCTGCTATTCTGGTCCAAGTCACCATCATCATTTACCTGGAAAATATCAAAAGCCTCCTGACTGGTCTCCCTAATTCTTGCTATCTCTGGCCAAATCTCTACACAGTGGCCACGTGATGCTGCTGAGATGAAGCCACAGTATGTCATTCCTCTGCCCAGAATCCTCCACTGGCTTCTAGGTCAAGTAAAAACCAGAGTTTACAATGGCCTGAAAGACCCCTCATGACCAGAACCCTCTGACCTGCTGCCTGCTTTTCTTCCAGCTCACTCCACTCCCACCTGCTGACACCCTTGCTCCCTCAAAGGGACTGAGTCTTGCTCGCACCTGGTGTTGTCACCTTCAGATGAAACTGGATCCAGAATGACAATTCCAGGCAAAGCCAAATGGAAACGTGACTACGGAACATATGCTGTCAAATCCCTCACTCTTGGCTGAGTTGATCTGTGAGAGTGCGTGTGTGTGTGTGTGTGTGTGTCTCTCTCTCTGTGTGTGTATGTGTGTGTGTGTGTGTATGTTCATGGACTGTGGAGTACAAGGGGCAAGAGAAAATCCTCTACTGGAGAAGACACCTTATACCTCAGCAGAAGTATAAGCAAGTCCAAGGCCAAGAGACATGGTCTTGGACCAAGAAGTCCCCCGCTAACCAGACCTTGCACATACCCAGTTTTAGCCTCTGGGTAATGGCAGTGTGTCTAAGACTTCTCAAGGAGGAAATCAGAAGGCAGTGAGAAAATGCTGCAAAGGGCATAGAGAGGGCCTGGGGTCTTCCCCAGCCCTGACACCTACCACCTATGTGACCTTGGACAAATCACTTCCTTACCAAGATTTTCATTTTCCTATTAGCAAAGCTAGAGGTTTTGCACTGAACAATTGCTGTGGTTCCTTCCCCTCCAATTTGCCAATATTTTAACAGAGTTAGAAATAAGTAGCCATGGGACTGCGGAAGGACTTCAGAAATGCAGTACTGAGAGGGTGTGCCCAATGGTGCCAAATCAAGCCCTATTTTAGATGAAAATTCTCAGCAGCAAAAAGAACTTGTTTTTCTGCCATGTTTATTCAACACAGGGCTTTGCATTCTTGCATCACATTAGCTTCCACAACGACCTGATCGGCATCCTCCCCTTTCACAGAATGGAGAACTAAGACTTAGAGTCGAAAAGTCATTGTTTAAGGTGACCCTGAACCAGGGCCTCCCTGGTCCCTGAAGAATGAGCCATTTAAAAACACCCCACAGGAAATCCTTAATCTGTTTTGAGATCTTTCTTCCTCTAATTTGTCACTTGATAAATTTGGATTGTTGTTACATACCACAATTTCTTAGAGGGGGATACACTTGCATTTTTTGTTATAAAATTATTTTAAAATGTATTTCTTTATGCATATGCCCACAGATACATACTTCTATATAAGTGCACAAACCATCTGATCATATGCATGCTTTTTTAAATGCACTTTTTTTTCCTGCTTCCCTTTTGCTTGGCTCTATCTCCTACTTTCTTTTTCCTCTCTCCTTCAGCACCCCGTCTCCTCAGATAACCCATGCAACAGTTGAGGGTGTAGCCTGCCAAATCTCTCTCCATTTCACCCAACCCTGCGCAGAACCGCATATACATAGACATATGGGAATGTCAGTGTTCCCTTTACAAAACGGCATCATATAAGACATGTTTTCTTGTATCTTGCTTTTCTTGTTCAACAATACTTCCTGGGAATGGCTCCAAGTCATCTGGTATGCATTTGATTCATTATTTTGGAGGGCTGAAAAATATTCCCTGGTGTAGATAAGGAAGTGTTTTCTAATAGACATAATTATAAGATCACCAAAATGTGGGCCTTAAGGATAAGGCCCCTACAGGGCTAAGGCTGTAGCTGGAGAAGGATACAGAGACTAATGAGCACCAAGAAACAATATATGTTTAAAACCACATGTAATATGAACATACATGAGGTGTGTTAGACCATTAGAAAAATGCTAGAGAGCGCAGGTCATCAGAATGCTCACAGTGGGGCCATCTCTGATTATTCAGGCTCTAGGGAAGTTTCATTTTCTTTTATATACTTTTCTGTATTACTTGAATTTTTATAATGATTATGTGTTAGATATATTATTGAGACAAAGCAATAAAGGTGTTTTAGCTTTTTTTTTTCTGTTGCTCCGTTTAGTTTTGGTCTTTAAAATGAAGCAAAAATAGTTCCATCTTCTTAGCTGTAAAATTATAGGCCTCTCTGTGCGTCCCTCTGCTGAAAGCCTGAGGATATTAGTGACAAACAAGAACCCATCAGTCAGAAAGGTAAAATGCAAAAGAAGGGTTGGAATTGGAAAAGGTTAGCAGGTGGAAATTTGGAGGTTATTGTGTTTTTAAGAGATTGAGATTAGAGTCATTTGTAATTCATGAGAATTCAAATGTGGTTAATGTGGTGGTTGGGAAAGAGCCCTGGATGCACCAGTGTTAGGTGAGTGGTGCTATAATGCAGAATGTAGGTGCCTTCCAGGACAAGGCCATGTGAGTTGCCGCCATGATGAAACACAGTATTTCTGGGAGAGATGAGTTTTCATCATTAGAGACTGTAGATAGGCTTGAGACCTATGTAGCCAGGGGTGGGCTGAGGCATAATTCTGAGAGCCCCCATGGCTGAACCCCATCCTGAACCCTCCCCAGACCCTAGCTCTTTTCCCAAAGGAGCTCAAGACACAGATTGGTAAGGGGCAATAGCCTAAGGCCACACAGCTGACCAGGTGACAGCTCTAGTATCCAGGGCCTTTTGCCTCTCTGCCCTCCTGAGACTGGAAGGTGCAAGATGGTGCTGAGAGCTCTCTCTCACAGCCAATGCTGTGGGCTTTTAAGAGGGTGGGTAACCCGAGGGTGACTTTTCATTTTATTTTACTCTGGGTGGAGGGGGGTTTACAGAGGAGCTATATCAGTAGCCACAAGCCCTATGGATGGCCAACAGTACAGTGCAACAGAAGGGGCTTTGACCTGGCCCTGACTTAATGAGTGAACCATTCTCTCTTCTGGCCGGTCTCCCAGCTCTCAGGTCCTATCAGCCACGCCCAGCAACTCCTGCAGGATTTATTGTACTCAGGTTGGGTTTTCTCTACAAGAACTGCAAATAACTGCACAGCCCAGGAGGGAAGTTGCTTTGGACTGAATTGTGTCCCTCTGCCCCAAATTCATATGTTGAATTGGGGGAAACTGTAAGCCCCAATGTATTTAGAGATGGGGGCCTTTGAGAAACACTCAGGTTTACTGTAGATGAGGTCATGAGAGTCAGGCCCTCATGATAGGATTAGTGCTCTTACAGGAAGAGGGGTGCTCTCTCTTTCCACCAGGGGAGGACATGTCCGACTGTCTACAGGACAAGAAGAGAGCCTTCACAGGACCCAACCATGCGGCACCTGATCTCAGACTTCAGCTCTGGAAATAGATCGATGTTGTTTAAGCCACGCAGTCTCTGATGTTTTGCTATGGCAGTCTGAGAGACTCGGACAGAAGTTCGAGGTCGGAACCCTTTCTTGCCTAATTCCCAAAGGGGAAGATTTTGAAGTCTGGGGCAGCCAAATGTAGGGAGCTTGCAGGCCATAGGATGAACCTGGACAGACATTGCTTTGAGAAACCTGGGCCCCCGAGGGCCAGAGTCTATAGCCGAGAAACCCACCCACCCGGATCCAGCAGGCCTGTACCTGGCTGCTGCTTCTATGTGGGCAGTGGCCACTTTCTCTGGTGCAAGAAAGGCTTGGAGGTATGGAATGAGCCAAGCCTAGGGAGAGGGTTGGAGGGGTGAGGGGCTGGCAGCGGTTCTGGGTGGGACACCCCATTAAGCCTGGCCGTTTGAGCTGAGCACTGGCTCTCATTTATTCTTCTGCAAGCCTTGACCTTGGCTTCCCCTCACCACCTCTCCCTGGTTCCTTCTCAGTGTCTTTTACTGCCTTCCAGAGCCTCAGGGCCCTTTCTGGCTTCTAGTGTGGTTACCAAGTGCTTTTAATTAGACAAAGTGATGGCTGTGACTGTGTTGCCCAGGTAACTAAGACCCTTAATCCTGCAGCAATGCCTGAGTCTCCAGAAGACCTTGACAGTGAAAATGTGGAGCCCTTATCTGGGGCACTGGGAGACAGGTGGGCCATTGATCATCCCAGCTTGTCTCTGGTCTCTACTCTGCCTACACGGATGGTGGGTTTCACTATGGCTGTGTGAACAGCAGGCTTTGAAACTATATTTGTCTGTTGTTACAGAGTGAAGGAAGGAGAAGGCAAGGAAAGTCTGCTGTCAGGCTCTGTTTGACTTCCTTAGCCTTCTCCCAAGAAGCATCCCAAGAATTCCAAGGCTGTGTGCACTCAAGATCATCTGGGCCTATCCCCTGCCTCTGGTGGCAGATGTGTAGTTCAGAGAGCTTCAGAACAGTGCAGCTGCCTCTTCCTTTCCTGACTTATCGGCCTCCTGACTGGCATGACCGGGGTCCTAAAGGGAACACTTCCCCACCCTCTGTCCTCTTATACTGAGAAACTCAAAACATACACATTGCCATACTCCATCTCGGTGATAGTGATGGTCTTGACATGCCAGACCAGCTCTCTTTTGGGGATGAACCGGTCCTCCCTGGCGAGATGGCCCACGCAGAGGGAGGTAATGTCCCCTAAGTAGACACTGTCAAACTCGAACGTGTCTGTGGTTCCCCTGCAGGAAACAAAGGTGTGGTCAGTGAGCTGTCCTTGCCCACTGAAGCCAGTAAGCATTTACTGAGGGGGCTGCTACATCCTGGGGCAGGGGATGGGGAGAGGATGGCAACAGGATCTGCTGGCACTCCTGTGTTCCTCCAGGGATTCCATCTAGTTTTGGAACAAGACAATCACAATTAAAAATCCCTACTAGCCGCCTGATCTCAGTAACAAGAATGGTGATATCATCTCATAGGATGGAGGTGGAGGAGGGTGAGGCCCTGGAGGCTGAGCTGGGGGGATGGTGAAACTCAGAGCTGGGGGAGGAGAGAGGGAGAGTCTCCAGAAGTGGACTTACCCTGGCAAAGTCCTGGAATGGGGAACAACAGCATGTGGAGGTGCAGATATTTCTGAGGGGAATGCAGGCACGGGTGGAGTTCAGGTCCAGTGAGAGAAATGGTGATGGAGAAGGGGGGGGGCAGGCAGTCTTTGGTGTCTCTAAGTGTCTAAGTGCCCAGACTTTGTTCTAACGTAGAGAGAATCTGAAGAAAGGGTTGCTATAAACTGAATGTGCACCTTTCCCGAACTCAGGTGTTGAAACCTAATCCCCATTGTGATGATTTTTGGAGGTGATGCTTTGGGGAGGTGAATAGGTCAGGAGGGTAGAGCTCTCAGGAATGGGATTGGTGTCCTTATTTAGGAGGCCTCAGAGAGGTTCCTGTCCCCCTTTTTTATGTGAGGACACAAAAAGGTGATCCCCTATGAAAAAGCAGGCTGATCTTTACCAGACACTGAATCTGCTGGTGTCTGAATCTTGGATTTCCAGCCACCAGCACTGTTGTTTCCAACCCACCCTGCCTAAGGAATTCTGTTAGGGCTGCCTGGAGAGATGAATACGAAGGCTTAGTGGTGCTGAGGGGGAGGTGGAGATTATGTAAGCAATTCTGGAAGGAGCAGGGAGATGGGGTGGGCCTCTGCTCAGTTCAGAGGTGGCTCTGATGGAAGGAGGTAAGGGATGATGTACATGGATGGGGGATAATGTCTGCCGGGAGTAGCACTGTCCCACCACAGAGTGAGCTGTCATTACATGTAGTCCCTCTTTTCCCTCTTATAAATTTTCTATTTCACCCCCCCCACCCCCGGCCAGGAGCTTACCCAGTATTGGCACACAGCAAGTGCTCAATAAGTACTTGCTGGTTAGGCCTATTTGTATTTCTATGGCTCCCACCCAAAGGGGAGCTTCTTGGGGGCTCCTCTCTTACCCACCCACCCAGCCCCAATCCCCCATGGGTACCCCCTTTCCTACTTCCTAAAGGCCCGCTGTCTAGAAGAATTTTCCACCAGAAACTCTTTGGATCGGTTCTTCCTGCCCTCCAGGATGAGCCAGACATTCTCCCTGGTTTCGCCTCCGTTGCCTGTTTCTATGACGATCTCGTAGGCTGTAATAGAGGGGTGGGGTGGGTCAGCAGAGGAGAGGCGGAGCCTACCATCAGGGTAGATGCATAATGGTCACTCCCTCCAGCCTTCATTGGCCTTAGGGCAAAGCCTGGGAGATGCAGGACTAAATTGCCACAATCCAAGGGACATAAGCAGAAGCTGCCCGGATTCTGGGGCGATCATTCCCACTTTATTTATAGTAGCAACCTCTTTGCAGGCCAATATGGGAGTTAGTAGGAAAGCAGCAGGAGCTGGGGATGAACACTCAGGAGGACACAGGGTCTGCTCTCAGTAACGGGCTGGTGCCCCGAGTCACAAACTGAAGATCATATGCCAAGACAAGAAAAAAGGACAGGTGGGGCCTTCTACAAAAAGCAAAAGGGAAAGACCCAGACAGGCAAAGGACCCCAGGAAAACTGGCTCTGGGAAGCAGTCTCACTCCCACCTTTGTCTCAGTTGTCACTCTGTCTCACGTTGGCCTTCCCTTAATTGTGTGTGCACATCAGGCATTCATCCAACAATTGTTAGGTGGGTGCCAAGTGTCAGGACTGGACTAGACTAGGGATCACACTAGAAATCAATCTCTTACTCCAGATACAAACATGAACTATGCCATAAAACAGAATGTGATGACCTTGCAACAAAGAACCAAAGTACTACGGGGTGAGATGACAGTGTGGCTGGCAGTTTCTCCTCCGCCTCCTCTCCCAGTACTCCCTCCAGCTACTCTGCCCCCTTGCTGTTCCCAGAGCACTCAGGCAGCTCCTGCCTCAGAGCTGCAACGATGGGTCCTTCTGCCTGAAGTGACTCCCCTTTCTCTTTCTCTCCACCTTTAGTGGCTTGCCTCACCCCCTCACCTCCTTCTCAGGGAGGTCTACTCTACTCTACAGTCCTAATTAAAATTGCAGCCTAATTCCCCTTGCACTCCTAGTCTGCCCTACCTTGCTCAATTATTTTCTATTGTCCTTATAGCCTTCAAATCTGCTGTGTAGTTCACTTATCCATTATTTTATTGTCGATTGTGTTTTTCCCCTCCACACTTGAATGTAAGCTCCATGCAGGAAGTGGCCTTCATTTTGCTCACTGGCAGAATCTCAAGTGCCCAGAATAGGGCCTGGCACACAGAAGGTCCTCAATCGACATTTACTGCGTGAATAAATGAAGGAGCAGGCTAATCACAGGAAGCTTCAAGAGGGAGGTGGCATTTGAGCTTGGCCTTGGAGAAGAGCCATCGTTATAATTGGCAGAAAATGGAGGGATGTTCCAGGCAGAGGAAAGAGCATAAGCAAAGATACCAAGGGGGTGTGACATGTGATCCAGCCCTGCTCCCCTGGGACCAGGCCAGGGATAGAGCTGGCACATAGGAGGACACAGTACATATTTGTCTGGAGTGTCCCCATACACATGGCTTTCACTGCAGTCCACAAACTGTCAAGGGTTTGGGATTCTGGATCCAAAGGGGTGGTTCTCTCTCCGTGCCTTTATCTCAGAGAAATGGCAAAGAAAATCAAGAGAGGAGATGGCCCTGCCTGCAGCTCAATGTCATGCCAACCCCAGCCCCTCAGCAGCCCTCTGCCTTTGTGACTTCTCTCCAGAAGAATCTCTGCTATCTGGAATAGATGGAAAGAACCCGAGCAAAGACACAGGCAGCCCCCGAGAGAGGAAGAGATCCAGAGAGGGCACAGAACTTCTGCAGGAGGGAGGGCTCTGCAGATCCATTCCCATTCCAGCCCAGGCGCTCCAGTGCACTGGGGAAGGGAGCTGTGCCCTGCTGTTCTGTGCTCCATGGGAGGCTAAGGTCTGTCCTGCAAATCGACACTGGTAAATGCAAAGGGGATCCTGGGTGTGGGTAAGGAAATGGTTTGTCAGCACCAAGGAGGGAGGTAGGGAGCGCAAAATGTCATCATGAGTGACTCAAGTAGGAGATGCAAGAGATGACACAGATGGGGTGTACTAACTATATGGACTGTATCAAATTCTTTCCTGATGGTCCTGAGGATGCGGTGAAGTAAGGAATTAGAGCCTTTAGGCGGATTAGAAACAAATGCTGCCAGTTGTACTCATGTCAAGGGTCTTGAAAGGAAGCTCCCAGCCCCATATTTTCACCTTGCTCTCTTTCACTGGTCAGTGCCTTAATAAAAAGGTGGAATGTGAGACTCTCAACTTTGTTCGCAGGGTGCTGGAAGGAAGTGGACAGAGGAGGATTAGCAACCTTGAAAAGATGGGGCAGGTAAGAGTGAGGTGTCCAGTCTAACAGAGGTCAATGTGTAGCTCAGCATGGGGCCAGCACACCCAAGGACAGGCCCAGCTGTGGGAAGGCACTCAGCAGTCACATGAGGAAAGAAGAACATGGGGGTCACTGGCATGCAGGGGCCACCAGCAAAGCGTGGCTCTGCAGATGCCACGCCCAGCACAAAGCCTGTAGTCCACCCCTCTTCCATTGCGCCATTCACGCCACCACTCATGCCCCTTACAGCAGCTTCTAGAACTGCTAACAAGAGTTGGGGATGAAGGCAGAGAACAGGAGGCTAAAGGAGATGGGGAATCATTCAATCCAGAGTCCAGCATGCCCAATAGAGACAAGACATCCCGGGGCAGTTAGATGTGTCACTTAACATTTCCAGTTTTTGTTTTCCTTATCCATGATACGGAGGTGTAGATTTGCATTTTTCTCTACCTCATGGAGTGAGATTTGGGTTTCCAGGTGGACTTGATGAGAACACAGTTGTGGACTGCTTTCAAGAATCCTCTGTTTAAATACCAGAGGGTGTTAGTCTTCATATGCTGAATGCCCGGAGGGGCCCTAGGGTTATCAATGCCAGAATCTAAGGACCATGGGGGCAGTATTTCCATTTTATTCATTGATGTGGCCAAAGGAGTCAAATTAAGGCCTGGCACTTGCGGATGATCAATATGGCTTTGTTACATGGTTAAATAAGGGTAGCTGAGGGGTGGGATGTTTGGCTCAAGCTCAGCCTATGACTCTCCCCAGGCTGAGGCTCCATCACGGACACAAGTGTGGCTGCCTATCCCCCTCAGAGCAGGCTGCTCTGCCTTCTGCAGTCTCCCAACACAGACAGATTGATCCAGGCCCCCTCCTCACCTCTGTGCCCTGCCCTCTGTCCCCAGCATGCACATAACCTTCCAGAACTAACATGAGTGTCAGAGGAAAGAACAGGTAATAGAGGATACACTGAGAGGGCCCTCTGCAACCTCCTGCCAACTCAAATTTGCAGGTCTTGGCAGCTGTTTGGCAGGAACTCTGGGAAGCAGACTTACTGACTAACCTACACCTTACGAATCTCTCTTTCCTGAACTCCGATCGCCTGAGGAGCCTCTATTCTTCATCTTGGCACTTATGTGAAGGGTTTAAGGTTCTCCCTCTAACTAGTTTGTAAGGCTCCAGGGACAAGGACTGCATCTTCTTCCATTCACCAAGCACCAGCTAACTGAGGTTAAGCCCGAGGCCTGAGCAGTTGCAGAGGGCTGTGGACATGAGTAATACTGTCCCTGACCTGTGGGAGCTTTGGGGTATGTTGAGAGACTGACACATGTGAAAAGGTCAATGCAAATAAACCAGAGGTCACAAAGCAGTGTGTATCATTCAGAGCATCTAGCATAAAACTGGGCACTCAGTAACTCCTCAGGAAGCGTAATTACACAAGTTGGGAGTCTAACTTCTGAATTAGGGCAGGAATTCCCCTACAGCAAACTTGGCAGATGGGCACTTGGCTGTCATTTGAATACTCCTGGGAATGTAGTGGTTCCATCCTTCAAGGCAGCTAATTTCATCGTTGGACAGTTCAGAGGGGCATGGCAGAGAGAAGTGTGGGTAGCTGGCTTTCCACCAAAGATTCATGTATCCATTCCATGGCCTACAGTGGTCCTCTAGAGGGGCTGCCTAGCCAGGGACTACATTTCCCAGGTACCCTTGCATCTGGTGGTGCCACATGACTAGGTCTCACCAATAGGATGTGAGTTCACGTGTTAAGCAGGTAGGGATGTGCCTTCTCCATGCTCCCTTTCCCTTCTGCAAAATATGTGGAAGCTACATGTTGGAAATGACAGACACAGATGGAAAGAGCTTGGGTCCCTAAATCACTCCACAGAACACCTCCCACCAAATACCCCCACTGGACTGTCTGTTAAAGGAATGAGAAATGTTGTGCTAAGACCCTGAGAATTGGGGATTTACCTCTTACTGCAGCTAGTACTGCCTTAAGGACTATGGTTAGAAAAATCCTTCACAAAGCTTATCTGCCTTTCATAAGCCTCCTTCCAATCTGGTGGGCCCAGACACTGGCATCTGTGTTAAACATACATCTCCCTAGGATCAATTACTCTTTCCCTTCAAACATCCCTTGAGAAAAGGACAAAAAGAAAGTGGCTGAAGGAAAGACTGGCTCTCCCTGCATTCTATTTCTAGGAAGCCTTGATTAGGCATCAATCAGATGGAGTCCATGATATAAAAATAAACCAGAGAGGGCTCTACAGCAAAGCATCTGGCCCAGCCTTCAGGTCAGGATGAGCCTGTCCCCAGTGGGTTTTCCTGCTGTTTCATTAGTCCCTGTGATTCAGGGCCATGAGTTGGAACCAGTATCTTGGCAGTTCCAGGTTTGCTAAGCAACATTTAGGGTGCTTACTCGTACATCTCTCCATATTATTTCCTGCATTGGGCATCTGACCTTCTCCAGCTGTAGCAATGTCTTCTCATTCAGACACCATTCCCCGACTCCCCCCTAAGCCAATGCTCTCCCCACATACTGGTCTCCTCCAACTCATCACGGATCTCATTGTTGGCACAGGCAAAGTCGCGGACGGTCTGTCTGTCACCCTCGCTCTTGGAGAGCCAGCAGTCACACTGGAAGCGGAAGGTCTCATCACGGGAGTTGTCCTTCACATCGATGTAGCTCAGATGCCAGCCAGGAAATATCCCTGTGGAAGGGACATCGTGAGGACTGAGCTGCATGTGCCTTCCTTCTCTTTTCAGACTTCCACCTTCCCCCAACCCACTGGCTCTGTGGCCCTGGACAAGTCCTCTCTCTGTCCTCTCTAGGCCTTGATCTCCTTGTTGATGAAATGAGGGTTTGGTTCAGTGGTCTCTGATGGCTCCTCCAGCCCAGAGGATGTAATGCTCTATGCAAAGCTCTTAACTCTGGGTTCACGAACACTAGTGGTGTATTGGGTTTAAGAAATCTATGGTCCCTGGCTCCTACCAGGAAGAGGGCTCACAGCTTTTATCAGATTCACATAATAGAGGTCTCTGACCCAAGAAATAGCCCCTTTTGGAGTTCGCAAAGGTGAAGGATGACCTTTATTACTTCTGACACTAAGATTTATCTAGCTCATGCCAAGTATCCTTCCAGAATCAGTTTAGATATCAACTTCTCCAGAGGCCTTCTCTGATGTCCCCTAGTTGCCTGTTATGCTGGCATCAGGTGTCCTGCACGCTCCTGTAGCCCCTTGCATCTGCCCTGTCCACACACTGACCACTTTGTGTTGTCATTATTCATACATGTCTCATCCCCTCGGCTGTGAGATCTTGAGGGCAGGGACTGGGTCTTATTTGTTTTTATTACCTCAAGGTCTAGCATTGTGACTGGCAGGTACCAGTTGCTCGATGAACACTGCATAAAGGAATGTGTTAGGACTCCGGGGACCTCGACTGAGGTATTCAACAATCCTAGCAGGAATCAGATGAAGTTGCCATCTCTTTCGGTATGTTTCTAAATTTGACACATCTTGGCCTAATATTGAATATACAGCTGCCTCTGTGGGAATTGGCAGGGTTTCCCTATCAAGAATGGATCGATGTGCTTTTGCTGCGACAGCTGCATGCTATTTACAGCATGCACTGGTTCATTTACTCTCCACTCTTCAAGGTCCTTGAGGACTCTGAAAACCAAAGGGCCACATGTAGGAGGAAATCCCAGTGGCTTGGCAGGTTAGGGTGAGGACACTTACTGCCCTTCATATGTGTACCAGGCAGTTCCCTGCACGGAATGCAAGGATGTGCTCTTCTCCCACTCCTTGTCTTGTCATGCCACCTGGGGCTGAGGGATCATCCCCAGCATAACCACCAAAAAGCTTTCCTCTAGGATCAGACAATGCCCAAAGCAACAGCTGTAGATGGACCTTGGTTCTGGTCTCATTGTCTTAAAGCACAAAGAGACACACAAAGATGGATACAAACTTTAGTTGCCTGGATTGCAGGGGGTAGATGTCAAGGCTTGTGGGCAGGGAATATACAGTGGCAGCAATAGTATAGCATTATCCTATGTCAAAAAAGTACTTACTTTTTTGTAAACATAGATCTGTGCTGAAGTGGAAAACAGTGAGTGGCAAACAAGCCGAATTTTACAATACTTCTGTTGACTTAAACAGTGGTTAGTTATTTTGTCAATCGACTTGTTTTTTTTTTTACCCCCATAAATCATTTCACTTTTGTACATTAGAGCCTGTTCTACTTGTAAGTTTGCAAAATAGCAGCTTTCTGAGATGGTCCCTGATAGTATCATGAAACTGATGAAACTACTTAGCAAGCCTCAGTGCATTCAGTCTGCAAATGATGCAGATAAGACCTATTCAAGCAGTGCTCAAAGACGTCTAGAATGGGACATAGAAAAGAGGAGGCGGGTAAAGAGGAAGGCAGAGAAAAAGAAAACAAGTTGTTGGTCCTATTGGAAGACATCCCAGATGTCTGATCGGAAGAGATTCTTTGTCCTCCCCATACCATCCACCCCCACCCTGTGTGTGTGTGTGAAAGGAGATGGAGGGAGCAAGAGAGGGATTCTAGTATCCAGCTCTTACCCAGTTCAGCTACTATAGACCCTGAAGTCGGGCCCCAGCATCTATATTCTTAAAGATGTCCAGTTGCTTTCAAAGTGTGGCCAAGGCTGCATCATAGTCACCTCAAGCACTTGTTAAAACACAGATTATTGGGCCCTACTCCCAGAGTTTCTGATTCAGTATGTTTGTAATGGGATCCAACAATTTTCTACCTCTAACCACCTCTAACTAGCTCCCAGGTAACATTGCTGGTCCACACCTAAGAACTACTGGTTTAATGTATCAGGACAGAGTCAGGGGGGTCTTTCAGCAGTAGGAAATCAATGGGAATTTCGAGTGTGTTAGTGTGTGGATGAGTGTGTGAGTGTGTTGTGGAGGAGGATGACATTGACTTGGAGAGCTGGACCATCATGAGATTGTTTATGATACTAGAAAGCACAGCTCATCCTGCTCTATACCCTAGCCAGTCTCACTACTGAATCACACTTCCTGGGCTCCAGGTAGGGCAGTGACAGAGGAAAGCAGTGAGCTGAGGGGAAAGGTAGATTCTAGGGTGGCTGTAACTTTATACCCAGATAATTCATTGCCCTTGCTGTTTAGATGAAGACAGCAAGAGGAGGCCTTGCCTTAATGACCTGTGGTAGGCTGCCTCCTTCCCCACTGTGTACCCCTGTCCCTCATCTTCTGAGAGGATGGTAATGTCTCACCCCATCCACAACTTTCAAGTTAGAGTTCTTCAGAGAAACTTCTTCCATGGTAAATAGCAGGCTAAACCCAACTCCTTTGACATGAAAGAAGCTTAATCCTCAGCTTTGTGCTCACTGCTGGATCTATTCGCCTTGTCTTAGAAATGTTGGGTAGGATTGGCAGGGGTCTTACTGCAACTTTCTCCCACTAAGAACCTATCAAACACGAAGCTGGGAACAGCAGCTCAGGGCAGCCCAGTGTCATGTGGCTGGTTTTTGCTGGTGAAGATAGTAGGATAGCAGAGAGGTAGATGGACCCACAGTTTAGCGAGATAGAGACATCCTTCTTGGCCCTGGTGGACTAATACGGAACCCTCTGAAACCAGCCATTCGAGAATCCATTTCTTTTCAAAGTCTCCTCTTTTAGGGTTCTATTTTATAACTATACAAAGATAGCAAATGCTCCACTCTGTTTGATAACTTATCCTTTTACTCACAGACAACCCATATCAGAACCAGAATGTAAATACTGATCTCATTCTTTTGCATAGTTGCCTGGTATCCCATTGTATGCTCATACTGCTCATACCACAAATTATTTACCTTGCTGTTGTGGATGGATAATTAGTTGGTCTCCAGACATTTACTTCCATACACAGTACACACCACATTTAAAATAATAAATTGGATTTTGTCACTTCTCCTTGTAAAACCCTCCAATGGCTCCCCATCATTGTCACAGGAAAGCACAAACGGCTCACCAAGGACTACCAGGATTGACATGATCTGGTGCTTTTCCACTCCTCTAATCTCATTTCATACTACTCGCAATTTCACTTACTATATTCCACCCACACCGGCCTTCTTTTTATACCTTGATATATGAAACCCTGTCTTGTCTTGAAAACTTTGCATTTACTCTTTTGTCTGTCTGGAACGATATTCCCCAGGCTCTGAGTGCTAATATTGTTTCATCATCGAGGTGTCAGATAAAATGTCCTGTTTTTGGGAAAGCCTTTGTTAACTGCCCTATTCTCAGAAGCTTCCTCATCCCCAATTACTTGCCATCAGTCACCATACGCCCACTTCACAATCTGAAATAGTTTTGTTTTTGTTTTTTCGTATATTATATTGTCTGTCTTCTTCTACTAGGTTGTAGGCCCTATGAGAGATCCTGTGCGATTTATCTACAACTATTTTCCAGTGCTTGGGAAAATGCTTGGCATATTATTCAATAAGTGTTTGTTCTCTTTTTTTCTTTTTTCTTTTTTTTTTTTCTGAGATAGTCTCACTCTGTTGCCCAGGCTAGCATGCCGTGGCATCAGCCTAGCTCACAGCAACCTCAAACTCCTGGGCTCAAGCAATCCTCCTGCCTCAGCCTCCCAAGTAGCTGGGACTACAGGCACCTGCCACAATGTCTGGCCAATTTTTCTGTTTTTAGTAGAGATGGGTTTTACCTCTTGCTCAGGCTCATCTCAAATTCCAAGCTCAAGAGATTCATTTGCCTTGGCCTCCCAGGGAGTGAGAATCACAGGCGTAAATCACTGTGCCCAGCCTATTTTTACTTTCTAAAGTGAACTGTTAGTTCTTTATTCCAGTACAGACCTCTGAAAATTCTTCTTAAGTAGAAAGATAATTCATTTTACCAAGTAACTCCTTTCTTAAAAATAACCTTTGGCAAGCTAAGAGTTCATCTGGGTAAGTTACGTTTCTTCAGCAAAATCAATAGACAGTTTAAAGTAAGATGTAGAATAATCACAGAGCCCTAGCTATGGAAGAATATAAGGATCTGGCTGTTATCTTTCCATAAAGATAACTTTTCATATGGCCACTATCTCAGAGACTGCCCTGAGCGACACTCTGGGACTTGCAGTCTCAGCATATTCACCAAACTGAACACATTATTATAAACCCCCCCGCCTCAGTTTCTTCACTTGTTCACTGCGGAGGTTGAAACAGATTATTTCTGAGGTATTTTATACTTTTATGAATTTATGCTGCTCAAAAGAAAACATAAATTCATTTTTGTGGCAAAAGAAATTCTTTATCTCGCCAGGGTTTTAATTTAACCAGACAAAGCAAGAAGAGCAAGACAAATTAGAAAATAAACACTCTGGTTATAATTTGTTCGGTGTTGTAAAAGCTATCTGGGTAATGGTAATTAAAGGGAAGAATGAACCATTTATCTTGATTTTCTTCTATGAGCTATATTTCACAGTAATCAAATAGCCTTAGGGGCATTTTTTTGTATTACAGAAAAATTCCAGCTAGTAAGTGGATAAAAAATGACAGAATTAAAAAATCACCATTTGTAGCCCTAATTGATCATCACTGGATGAATCCATTAGATACAGAGTTACGAGGAGATTTACAATGGAGCAATCAGGCTGACTGCCCCGTCTCCACTATTCAACATTACTAGCACCAGTAAGAAAGGGACTTCTACTTACTTCAATTACA